AAGTTATTTAGAGACTATGGATGGCGAGGATAAATGTAATAAAGGGATCTACAAACATTACATTGGTGACATACAGTGAGATGGTGCAGGCATGCGCTTAGGGCCCGCTTTCCAGCCAGTTTCTGTGAGGTAACGCATTCTGAGGTGAGGCAGAGCTCATCTGTGCCTCACCTCACCCCACAGTAACTGGCTTGAGCGCGCTCACAAAATAAGTGCCCGCGCTAAATTAGTGCCCGCGCTCCAGCAAGTTACTGTGGGCTTACGAGAGGCAGAGCTCGTCCCTGCCTCACTCCTCATTGCTCCCATGTAGTTGTAGCGGAGCTCGGCAAATTTGCTGATTTTGACTATAAAAAGCGATTGGAATCATACATAAATCACACTTACAACACAGATCAGTGGAGACATTTTATTATAACTATTTAGTTTTTCTTTAGTTGTTTTTCCGTTACATTGTAGTATGGCCAGTCTATGAGTATGACAGGTGAGGCTCTGCCTCCCCTGACTGCACGTCGCTGGTCTCTGGGTAGAATATCCTTCAACCAAGGTATTCTACATCCTTGATCGAATGCCCTGGCCGTTGCACTGAATGAGAGCGTACGTTTGGACTGACAGTTTGATCAACCAATCATATATTGATTTGTAGCCAATGGGCGTATTCTTTCAGAGGTTCCCTCGGTTCCAGGGTACTCTAGGCCCCGCTAGTTAACTGGCTCGAGACAGGATCTAGAATGAATGCGACGAAGCAATTCATGCCGTTTTATTGTTTTTAACGTTGAAATGACAAGTGCAACAGGTGAAGATGAAGTTGTTGCGGAATTGTTGTACCCTTTTCAAGACGACAATTCAGTGAAAAGACGGACATTATAATGCCGCGGCGGGGGGTGTGTCTGTCTACAGAAGGTCCGGTTGTGATAGACACGGTTCGCCACTGGTAGAATTACTTTAGATATATTTCAAGTATTTCTTTAAACCAGAGCCCATGGACGTGTGTGACAGCATGCTCCCCTCAACTTGCTTGATTGTCCTCGGCCGCTCCGTAGTTTCAGAGCGCATCGAGTTTAAAATACCATCTACTAGGGGTGTAACGGTACACGTATCCGTACCGAAATTATTCGGTACGGGCCCTTCGGTTCGGTACACGTGTGTACCGAAGTGTACCGAACGAATATAACGTTAAACGTAAAAAATTGAGAACGTAAACAACTTTTTGTAAATAATCTCAGGTGCTGCGTCGCAGCATTCAGAGTAATTTGCTCACATTGTGTTCAACGCCTCATAGAGCGAGCAAGTCATTTCATTGGACGAGAGGCATACTATGAGAGCTGGTCACAGGGATGCGTTCAAATGTAGTCAGTAATTTGAGGAACTGTCGAAATGGCGAACGCAGATAAAGTTGAGCTGGAAAATCCTCCAGCATCATTGAAGTCTCCGGTTTGGGAACATTTTGGTTTCGCAGTTACGTACAAGGATGACGGACAAAGACAGGTGGACCGAACCAAAGCTGTTTGTCGGCATTGTTCAACTAACATTGGTTACGCGGCTGGCAATACATCCAACTTGCACACTCATTTGAAAAGGCATCACCCGAACGTGAATATCACCGGTACCAAAAGAAAAAAGACTGAAGTGCAAACCCAACTCCCGCTAGCATGTAAGCCTCCACCACTCGCAGAAAGTTCAGACCGAGCCAAAGCTATTACAAACGCCAAGTATCCTTATGTTGCCATGTTAGCAAAGCGCTACCTGGCTGTATCTGCTACCTCTGTCCCTAGCGAGGGTGTTCTGCAGATCTGCCCTTTCGGCAAGCAATGTGGACAAGTTCATCTTTCTTTAAACAACATGAAAATACAATGACAAGCAAGTCCTAATGTCAAACTGGCTGCTCAGGTACTAGCACAGTTCAAATACAGATCATTTCAGTTCATCGAAATGCTGCACCTTAATGTTTATTTTATTATATTTTGTATTTATTTGAGTGAATACATTATTCCCAGTTTAATAATAATTTTAAAAAAACAACAGTTTTTTTTATGTTTTGTGAAAAAAAATTCTGCTGTACCGAAAACGTACCGAACCGAACCGTGACCTAAAAACCGAGTTACGTACCGAACCGAAATGTTTGTGAACCGTTACACCCCTACCATCTACTGATGCTGACAGCCCCGCTCCTGCCGCCCGCTTGCATCTTTACGATCACTTCCACGCTCACCGGCAGGCCCGGACTGGCCATCGGGAGGGTGTGTGTATGTGTGGCGCGCGTGAGAGAGAGAGAACGTGCACACCTTACATGTATTGTTGTTGTTAGCATCTGGTGCTAGCTAGCTGCGCTAACGGATATAAGGAGCTGCTTAAATGAAAACAGAGGAGCGGCATTTCGCCTACAACTGCGCCGAGCACTTGACTTTATGCAGGTAGCCAGACAGTGGGACATTGTACGAAAAGTCAGCACACTCAGCACGGATAGTGCGCAACATGATTGCAGCGTCCAGGCAGCTCCCGTACGAGCATATGCCTTGAGTTGCACATAGCTCCAACGATCCATCACAGAGTCTCCCCACACACACACACACACACTTTGTATTGTATTGTATGAGAGAGGTTCCAGGTTGAATTGAGGCGAATATTTGTAATGTTCAGAGGTTGTTGCGTTTAATATTCATGAGAATATTTGTGATTGTTCAAATGATAATAAACAAACATTTGCATAAAGCATATTTGTCCACTCATATGTTACTGTGTATGTACCAAGTATTAAAAACTTGAAAAATATCCCTCTTAGGTACATTTAGAACAGATAAAAAATGTGCGATTAATTTGCGATTAATCGCGATTAACTATGGCCAATCATGCGATTAAATATTTTACTCGACTGACAGCCCTAATATATATATTTTTTTTTTTGTTACTTTTATTGTCATTACACAGTAGGCCTATTACTATGTAACAAAATGGTTTCTCTGCATTTGACCCATCCTAGTGTTAGGAGCAGTGGGCTGCCATTATGAACGGCGCCCGGGGAGCAGTGTAGTGAACGGTATCGTGCCGTGACTTGAACTGGTGACCTTCCAGTTGCCAAGCCAAGTCCCTATCCACTTCGCCACCACCACCGAATTTTGTATTTTCATTACATGTTTTTTTATTTGTCTAATGCTGCCTGTGCTGCACCTCTTTTACCTTTTCACCTGTTTCTAGAGCGCATACACATAACATGTGTACTGAGTTTTGCATTAAACTACAGTCCTTTCTGAACAACTTGTAAAAGTTATCATCATATCGAGGCACTTTTAGTTGACAAATTATCTCTGTAAATACTTTGCCACTCTAACATCTTTCCCTTGAGAGATGATGAATGTTTCCCCTCCCAAAGCAGACCATTAATATGAGGTAGCTTCCACAAGTGACTGTTGACCTACTTTCCAGCTTTCAGAGGAAGCTTCCTGAGTTTGTGGAAAGCTTACTGTAGCTGCTTCTAATGTGCTGTTGACTGAGGGCTCAGACACCTCTTCCTTTATATTCAGCTCCACCTGGAACTGAAGAGTGTCTGATTTCTACGCATGATTAGGGTTTTTACATCCTAACACTGTGCCAAAATAGCATGACATGTTACTGTTTACGTGCCCTGCTTCCATACACAACCTAAGATATGGGTTTCATGTGTATCCAGTAGAGCTTTCAACATGGTCCAGCAGGACTTAGATGTCTATCTCTGCGTGATTGGATGATGTGGCACAGATTCACCCAGAGGAAGTGGAGGATTCATGTGAGCTGAGGCAGAGCGGCTGCATCACGACACTTTCAGTCTCACCGTCTAGCTCAGATCCACACTTCATGTGCTCAGTCACCAAGCTGTTCTCCTTTTTCACTTCCTCAAAATATCAGGAAGTAGATAGGATTTACAGTCTGATTTGAATCCTTTTGTTAACCATAGTGTCTCAAACTGACACAGAGATGTATTACATTTGGACTGAGCAAAAAGTAGAGAAAAAGTTTGAGAGAATAAGTTGCGTGTCCTTCTGGTCTCAATAGCATAGCCCTCTAACTTGCCCTTTTTTTGACTGCTTTCCATATGATGGTATGCCATATTCTCCCTGTCATTCCATGCGTCTTCTTTCAAGTAGATTCCCTCCTGCTAACATTCCATAAAGCACATTCCCATCTCTCTCCATCTCATTCCAGCCTGGTATACCCTATAGATTGTTGAGCCGCATGTGTAAAACAAATCACTTTTTTTGTAACCCAAACACTGACTGGCATCAGGCCCTGGGTGGGAACAGGGGAGGGGGAGGAGGATGAGGGGGGGGGTGTGGAAGGAGAGGACAGATGTGTTTATAGAGGCTAGAGGAGAGAGGACAACAAGGTCTCCGCCGGACTGATGTTGAAAACGTCCTCACACGAGCTGAGCCGCCTGCTCCATCATTACAGATGCAGGATGTGCAGCCGGACGTAGTTTGAACCCACAGCTAATCAGCCATGCATTTTTATCATATTTTGGTTTTGTTGTGTTTAAAATAATTGGTTTTGAATGTTCTCCAAATCTTTTTTTGTGTTGACTGTGCCCCAGAGTGAATTTGCTGTGCTATTAGATGTCCTAAAGGCTTGCAATATGCTAGAACAAAGAGAGAGCTGAAGGGGAGACATGTAACTTATGTAAGAGTTACAAAGAGAACACACTGTTCCTATGGAATCTATCAATGAAAGGAGGGAGGATCACGTCATGACAATGGGTTGGAAACTTGGCTCTGAATGATACGGACATCTTTAAAGTGTCATTTGAACCTCTGTACTAAAATATGACACATTGTAAAGAGAGAACAGTTTCTTCTAAAGTAGAGTGTTCAGACTTGAATCAGTGGTGACAAAGCAGCATCTGATAACACATGACACAGAATGACTGTATCCAATTCATTACGCCTGTGGAAAAGTAAGAAATGAACAGGACTGATGGAAATAGTTGAACTATTTTGTTGAATTGGGATTTGTATTGTTGTCTGTCTTTGTAGAACCTGGTGTGAACACAGACAGCAGACCAGGGAAAAGTAGGAGGAGTCCACTGCAGACTCTCTACAATGGAGACCAGGTGAGAACACAGTCACACACACACACACACACACACACACACACACACACACACACACACACACACACACACACACACACACACTAGGGCTGTACCCGAATATTCGTTCATTGGAGTACTATTCGGGTTTCAATTTCGTTATTCGGATATTCGTTTTTATTTGTATTTGAATTTATTGAAAACTCCAACATCAACGTAAGAGCGTGTGCCTCTTCAGGGGGTGCTAACACTTAACCATAAAGGTTATCGTTTACTTTCTCCGTCTTTATATGTAGATATTACTTTTTCTCCGTTAATCTCCGTCACGTTGTTTCCATAGCAACAACAACTTCCTGTCAACAGCGCTAACTCTCCTTCAAAATAAAAGCATGTCCATACAAAATAGGAAGCCAAGCCAAATTACACTTAAGAGATCTACAACTGCAACGAAAGTACCCAATGCAATATCCTTTTCAATTTCAAAGAACACAAATTGGGTTATTTACATTAACAAATAACTATAAAACAACAATACTGTAGAATAACAAAATTAATGCCGTGAACAAACCGAAATACACGTGTTGAAGCGGTTTGCTGCTGATTACTACGCCTCCCCCGCACGGGCCGAATATTCGCCGCTGATTACTACCAAATATCCGGAGCCCGAAAAATGGTATTCGGGACAGCCCTAACACACACACACAAATAATATGTTTGCCAAAACTGCTTTTTAAAGGTTGAATAATAGACTACCACTTAAGTCAAGACTGAAATGTCTCTACATTTCTGTATTCCCTTAAAGTTACATAAAACATTTTTGAACTATCCGATTACTAGTACATTTAAAAATAAAAAAGGAATAAATAGGATTACAATGTTACAATACATTTAAATTGAAAATAAAAAAGTGATACAATTCAAATCAATATAATACAGCTAAAGGTACTGCCTTCTTTCTTTTTGGTTTTAATTTAGGCTACTTTCATTCTTCGTTATTTAAAATATATATATTTTTTCATCTTGTATTTATATATTTAAATGCAGTAGGTGGACACTTGAGGGGAATAAGTAGCACCAGTGTGATTTTTGTGAGATTATTACCATCTGGCCAAAGTTACGGGGGGGTGGGCAAACAGGCAGCTATAACGCCAGCTCTGCCACATTAAGAAGCCCCCTTTAGTTTTTCACCTGCTTAAACAAAAATACTGTGTTTGATTTGAGTTAAAGTAAGTAACGTTTGTTTATTTTCTCTTGTATTTATTTACATTTCATTTTGAGGACATCCAAAATTAAAGAAAAGTAATCAGGTCACATTACTTTTAAATGGTGATGGTCAGATTGGGTTAGTGATTACGTTAACATGTAAATATAGTCATTGAGACAACAGCATACATTCTTAAAGTAACCCCTCTTTAGCTTTGAAACCCCACTGCACACTACCTGGCAACAAGCAGCAGACATAGTTCTAGCTGGTGAACATTTAGCAGTTAAACAGCCAGATGTTTCCCTGTAGAAGAGCCATGGACAGATCTAAAAATCAGTCAGAAAAGCTACAAATGCTTTTTTTGTAAGATATTTTAAGACAAAGGAGAAATCTGCTTGAAAAATAAATCCCCTGAATGTGTGTTGTGATAAGCACCCTGATGTCTGCTCTTATGAGTTTCTTTGGGCGCACAACATTTCTGAAACAAATTGAAAAGGTTTTTCTATTTCTGCTTCCCCCTCCTCCCTCAATTCCCCATTTGGACTCATTCCTCACCCTGATCACATCACAAGCAGCTGGAGCTGCTGGCGGCTCAGAGGTCGCTCCAAGGTCGCAGGGAGCTGCTGGAGCAGGCGTGTCTGAGCCACACCAGGAAGCGCCAAGTGCTTTCCCCCGAGGACCTCAAACACCTCATTGTGGATGATAAACACAGCCTCATCTACTGCTACGTACCCAAGGTTGGTGACAGTGAGATTAAGAAGTGCATCTGGGGGAGAGATGAAGGGGGGACGGGGGGGGGAGAGATGTGAGGCAAATACATGAGATGAAAGACACCGCTGCATGCAGATGTTCTAAAAACGAATGGAAGTTAATTATTGCTGTTTAGCCTCAAAAAGCGCCGACACATTTTAGAATCCATCGTAATTTTTCACTTTTTTGGAGGGGGGATATTCATTCCCATGGTGCAAAAAAAGTATATTTAGCTACCAGTCTTGCCACCATTAAATTGACTGTTATTTTTGTTGTAATATTATAGTCTTACTGATAAATGTACTGGTATTTATATTTATTGTTTCTACTTTAATTTGTGTTATAATTGTAAGTGTGATGATAATCAATCAATCAATCAATCAATGTTTATTTATATAGCCCAATATCACAAATGTTACATTTGTCTCAGTGGACTTTACAGTTTGTACAAAATATCAGTATGACAATACGACACCCTCTGTCCTTAGACCCTCACATCGTACAAGGAAAAACTTCCGAAGAAAACCCACAGTTTAAAGGGAAAAATGGGAGAAACCTCAGGGAGAGCAACAGAGGAGGGATCCCTCTCCCAGGACGGACAGACGTGCAATAGATGCCGTGTGTAAATTGAAAAGATAATACATTTGCAACATAGGTAGTCCAAATGTTTGGAAATGCATGTGTGTATAATAGGAAGATGAATCCACGAGGATATCCATCCAGGACCTATGATCCAGGACCACAGCCACGACTCAAGATCCAGGACAGAGGAGCGCAGGATCATCCATGTCTCCGGATCCCGGCGTATACAGACACCAAAAAGAAAGACATTTGGGGAAGCTGGGTTAATCGGAACATGAGAGTACACAGGTACAGACAGAGAGAAGGAAGAAGTAAGATGTCCCCTGACAAACTAAGCCTATATCAGCAAAACTAGGGGCTGAATCTAATCAGCCCTAACTATAAGCTTTATCAAAAAGGAAGGTCTTAAGCGCACTCTTAAAAACGGATAGGGTGTCTGCCGCCCGAACACAAACTGGAAGCTGATTCCACAAATGTGGAGCTTGATAAGAAAAGGCTCTGGCTCCCATTGTACTTTTAGAGACTCTAGGAACAACCAACAACCCTGCATTCTTGGAACGCAATGCCCTAGTAGGACAGTAGGGTATAATGAGTTCTTTAAGGTAAGATGGCGCCTGCCCATTAAGGGCTTTGTAGGCGAGAAGAAGAATTTTAAATTCTATCCTGTGTTCTATAGGGAGCCAGTGTAAGGCAGCCAGAACAGGAGTAATGTGGTCCCTTTTCCTAACTCTGGTTAGTACACGAGCTGCAGCATTTTGAATCAGCTGAAGCGACTTGACTGACTTCTTGGTACACCCTGATAATAAGGAGTTACAATAATCCAGCCTTGAAGTAACAAATGCATGGACTAGTTTCTCTGCATCGTTTTGAGGCAAGATATGCCTGATTTTTGCAATGTTACGTAGATGGAAGTAGGCGGTCCTTGAAATTGATTTTATGTGGGCGTTAAAGGATAAATCCTGATCAAATATAACACCAAGATTCCTTACAGTCTCACTGGAGGCCAAATTAATGCCATCCATAGTTAGTATATCCTTAGATAATTTGTTTCGTAGATTCTTCGGGCCAAGTACAATAACTTCAGTTTTGATCGTGTTTAACATCAAAAAGTTTAAGGTCATCCACGTTTTTAAGTCCTTAAGGCAGTCTTGAATTTTATTTAGATGATTAATTTCATCAGGCTTGATTGATAAATATAGTTGAGTATCATCCGCATAACAATGAAAATGTACAGAATGATTCCTTATAATATTGCCTAACGGAAGCATATATAATGTGAACAAAATAGGTCCGAGCACTGAGCCCTGTGGCACTCCATGGCTAACTTTGGTTTGCGTGGAAGATTCATCATTGACACGTACAAACTGAGAGCGTTCAGATAGATAGGACCTAAACCAGTCTAAAGCAGTTCCCTGTATGCCAACTAAGTGCTCTAGTCTTTGCAATAGGATATCATGGTCGATAGTATCAAATGCAGCACTGAGATCGAGCAAAACAAGAATAGAGACACGTCCCTTGTCAGAGGCTATTAGAATGTCATTTGTGACTTTAACCAGAGCTGTCTCTGTGCTATGATGTGTTCTAAAGCCAGACTGAAAATCTTCAAATAAATCATTGTTTTTTAAGTAATCACACAACTGTTTTGCGACCGCTTTCTCAATAATTTTTGAGAGGAACGGAAGATTGGAAATAGGTCTATAATTGGCTAAAACCTCTGGATCGAGGTTGTGCTTTTTAAGAAGCGGTTTTTATCACTGCTACTTTGAATGATTGTGGAACATAGCCTGATAATAAAGACATATTCATAATATTTAATAAATAAGTGCTAATTAATGGAAAAACTTCCTTCAACAGCTTAGTTGGAATTGGGTCTAACATACACGTTGATGGTTTAGAAGAGAGAATCATTGAATTTAATTGTTCAAGGTTTATGGCTGAAAAGCATTCTAGTTTACTATCTAGTGTAATATTAGAACTTACGTTTCCGGGAGCTGTTGATAACACTATACTGGTCAAAGGCAAGAGGTCATTAATTTTGTTTCTAAGAGTAACAATTGTATCGTTAAAAAAGCACATAAAATCATTACTACTGAGTGCTATGGGAATAGAAGGCTCAATCGAGCTGTGGCTCTCTGTCAGCCTGGCTACAGTGCTGAAAAGAAATCTTGCATTATTCTTATTCTCATCTATTAATGAAGAGTAGTAGGCTGCTCTCGCTTTACGCAGTGCTTTCTTATATTCATTGAGAGTAATATGCCAAATTAAACGAGATTCTTCAAGTTTAGTGGAACGCCATATCCTTTCAAGTTGTCTCGACTTTTGCTTTATTTTGCGGGTTTCGGCATTATGCCATGGAGCTAATCTATGTTGTTTTATTTTCTTCTTTTTCAAAGGAGCAACAGAGTCTAATTTTATTCGCAGCGCATCTGTAGCACTATCAACAACATGATCAATTTGGGGTGGTGTACATTTTGTATAAGTTTCCTCCCTTACATGCAGACATGCTATCGAGTTAAGTATTGGTGGAATCTCTTCCTTAAATTTGGCTATAGCACTAACAGATAGGTTTCTGCTGCAGGAGCTTTTGACTAATGCTTTGTAGTCTAGTAACAGTACTTCAAAAGTTACTAAGAAATGGTCGGATAAAGCAGGATTATGCGGTTCGACTAATAGTTGCTCAATTTCAATACCATAAGTCAGAACAAGGTCGAGAGTGTGATTATAGCAGTGGGTTGGTTTATTTACACTCTGACAAAAACCAACAGAATCTAATATAGAGTTAAATGCAACAGTAAGGCTATTTTTATCATCGTCAACATGAATATTAAAGTCACCTACGATAATTACTTTATCTGTTTTAAGAACCAAAGTTGATAAAAACTCAGAGAATTCTGATAAGAATTCTGAATAAGGACCTGGTGCACGGTACACTGTAACAAATAAGATTGGCTGCAAAGTTTTCCAGGTCGGATGCATAAGACTAAAAACAAGACTTTCAAAGGAGGTATAATTTAATTTTGGTTTAGTATTGATAAGTAAACTTGAGTCAAAGATTGCTGCAACTCCACCTCCTCGGCCCGTGCCCATTATAATATAATGAAAACATTTATGCTAATAGCTAAATAATAGCTACATTTAATTATAAGTATGAATGTGTATTTTGGCTTGAAAGATAATCTCCCTCTCTTGTTGTCCCCCCCAGGTAGCCTGCACCAATTGGAAGCGAGTCCTGATGGTCCTCACCAGTGACGGCCGCTACACGGACCCCCTCTCCATCCCTGCCAACGAGGCCCATGTGGCGGGGAACCTCCGCACGCTCTCCGAGTTCTCCGTCCCCGAGATCAACCGACGCCTCCGCAGCTACCTCAAGTTCATCTTCGTGCGGGACCCCTTCGAGCGCCTGGTGTCGGCGTACCGCAATAAGTTCACCCGGAGCTACAACACTGCGTTCCACCGGCGCTACGGAACCAAGATCATCCGCCGGCACCGGCCCGAACCGGATCCAGAGGAGATTGAGAAAGGAAATAACGTTTTATTCCACGAGTTTGTCCAGTACCTCGTGGACCCCCGGACCCAGCGGGAGGAACCCTTTAACGAGCACTGGGAGCGGGTGCACTCGCTCTGCCACCCCTGCCTCATCCACTACGACGTGGTGGGGAAGTACGAGACCCTGGAGCCGGACGCCCAGGCCGTGCTCAGCCTGGCCGGGGTGGAGGGGACGCTTCAGTTTCCCACGTCTGGGAAAAGCACCAGGACTGATGGCAACATGGCCGCACGCTACTTCAAGCACATCAGCCCTTTCTACCAGAAGAAACTGTTCAACCTGTATCGCATGGACTTCCTGCTCTTCAACTACTCCACACCAGAGTACCTCAGGACTTGATGAGGGGGGGGGTGAGAGCGTTGACATCAGTCTGATGGTTTTCCCTTCAGTTTCAGTTTGTGATGATCATGTTGCACGTTTCGGTTGCCATCTCTGCCCAGAGTAGTCCATCACACGCTCTGGCTTGTCACTAAGACCCTCGGAAAGAAACAGCTGTGGAGAAAGAACCAAAAGCAAATGGAACCAAAAGACAGTTTGCCAAGCATCTGTAACACTTGTCAGCTTGCTTTCTAGTGTGAAAGAGTGTATTGTTCTGACGTCAAGCAGAACAAAGGGCAGACTGGTTCTTCCCAAAATGTGTTAGAACCATTCCAGGTGACACAAACAAGTCCTTTCTGATGGGGAGGGGGGAGGGGGGGGGGGGGGGGGGGGGGCTTTAGGTTAATTTAGAACCCAATATTTATTTTTTATTCAGTTCCTTGTGTTTCTCGCCTAGAAATTGCCTCGTCAAATTGAACAAACGTTTCTTTGACTTGTATCTTTGTCTTCCTTCACCTGTGGATTTGAGAATTCTGCCCCACCAGCACGTCCGGTGCCTTCTACAGTGAAACATATCCCGTGGCTTATTCTTCTGAGAACCAATGAGCCATAAATCAAAGTGACACTTTGGGAGGAGCAGGTTCTCCTCTGGTCGGGTGAATGTGCTGACTGTGAACCTGAACACAGCAGATTCATCCAAAGCAGTAGAATATCTCTGGATGGCTTTTATTTATGTATGTTGGTGCATCAAAGTATTTATTGTGTGTGTCAGTAAGGGCCTGTGATAAATGTATTTGATATGAAAGAAGGGATTCCTTTCTGCATGGAAAGTTACTTGCTGTTTTTGCTTTTGCACATGCCAAACAGAAATCAAAAAATGTTGTTCTCCTCTGTGAGGTTCAACTCTAACTCTAAAGCCATTGCCTGGGCTTGTTCTATCTAACATGTGACACACAATCGGGGACTCTATCTTGAGTCATTTCCAGGAAAGCAGCCGTCTCTCCTTGATTCCAGTCAAAGTGTGTTGCCATCCCTCCTCTATCACTGTCTGTATTTAGCTGTGGGCAGGTAGGCTGAACAAACAGCCACATAGCTGCGGTGGGGCAGGGTCCGGCTCAGCGCGGCCCCTCTCAGAGCTCCCCTTGTTAGCTCGTCCAGGGGTTAGGCCTCTCCACTGCAGGGCCTTGTTCAGCAGAGTGACAGAATTGACATTGGGGAGAACACAGAGGCTCGTGTAGGAAAATGTTTATTAATGGCCTCTGCTGGGGAAAATATCAGTAAGTTGTTCCTTTCATACAGCCTTCAAAGTCTAGAGGGGATGTTAAACTTCAAACTCAGCTCATGGGGTGTTCTACTGCGTATAGCCATGTTTTGACAAGACAGAAAAATGCATGGAATTTTAAAAACGATATCTTTACGAGTCTTTTTTAAAGTGATACAATGTTAAAGGAGGGTAATGCGAAATGGGCGGAAGCCCATAATAATCTATGTTGAAACTAGGAGTTAAGTCATCTCCAATGACATGATTTTAATTGGAAAAGTTTAATCTAGTGCAATTTAAAAATATATATTTTTGAACAAAGTGAACTTTAAATGTTTAAAGTACATAAATAAATAATTTATTTGTCTCTGTAAAATGACTGAAACATTTATTTTCAGGTTTCTGAAGGATTATATCATTTGGCACTATTCGTAGCTACAAAATGAGGCTGTTTTTATTCCAATGTTTTCGACAACCTCCAGAAAGACAAACAAACAAAACAGACAAGCAAGACATCATCTCATTGGCTGAGGGAATAACGATCTCAGAATTGAGTTTCTGTCAACCCTATGATTAAGCCAAATGATTGACTTCCTTTTCTCAGAAAACTTGCCAGGTCAAGTCATCTCATGTCACAAACAGTTAAATGGCAGGAAACTGTTAAATGAGTTTATCTTGCAAATGTATTTAGTCAGACTGGCCCAGGCATGTCCTCTGGAAACATTGCTTTTCTTTCTGCCTGTAGCAATGCTTTGAAAAGTGCAATATCTGTGTTAGATCTGTAATGTGGTCAACGCTGTGTCTGTGTGACTTCCTCTGGCATAGAAGCCTTTTTGCTCATGCCACAACCCATGTTTCTGTTTGCTATGAATGCAGCAATGGATTACAGGGTTTTCAGTTCAATGCTACCCTTTGTAAAAGTGTGTGAGTAAAGCCATCATTTGCAAGCAGATGTGACTTGCCAAAAAACCAGTCACACCCTTCATTTTTTGCTTCCACTGTCTGGATGTCAAATATATGTTTTATCTTTCCTGGAAAATACAGATTACAAATAACCAGTAGGTTGTTCTTTCAAGTGTGTGTGTGTGTGTGTGTGTGTGTGTGTGTGTGTGTGTGTGTGTGTGTGTGTGTGTGTGTGTGTGTGTGTGTGTGTGTGTGTGTGAATCTCATGACCAGACGCTGCTGTGAATGAACACAGCTAGTCAAAATCTTTAGTCACACCTGTCTCTTGGTGAGTCGTGAAATAGTGAACAGAGAACAATCTGGAAGGTCTCCTGCACCAGTTCATTTGTGCCACAAAACTGTGAATGTGATAACTGAAGTGCACTTGCTGATGCTCTGGTTGACTGGCTGGTTACCTTGAACTTTCTACAAATACAATCCTTAAACAGCAACAGTGTGTGTATTAGTTTTTTCTACCATGTCTTTTTTTACAATACACCATACCTGTTTATCGAACATACTATTCTACGCCTTTCTTTCCAACATACAATCCTATTCTTTTTGTATTATACCATACCATTAGGGGTGTAACGGTATTCGTCACGGTTCGGACGTCACGGTTCGGCACACACAGTCACACGACGAATACGCATTTTTTTTACGAGTGGGAAAAAAAAGTGTCATTCAGGGCAGTATCCACTACACTATTTATAATCCAGGGGGCGGTATTGCGCCTAAAAGCTGTTTGCCAGCCGCCCTTAAACAACAAATGAAGAACAAGAAGAAACACAACAACAAAACGAACAAAATACAAGAAGAAGAAAAGTTAGTATGGCGATTTCAGATAACACACAGGAGCTAGAACCCACCTGCTTCTTTTAAATCAGCTGTGTGGGAACATTTCGGGTTCCCTGTGGACTACAATAACGATGGAGTGTGCGAGTGGTGGATCGGACGAGGACGGTGTGTCGCCGTTGTTTTACAGTGGTGCGGTATGCTAATGGTAACACAAGCCAACATGCTACATCATATCAGAAGGCATCACCCAGATTTGCCAATCACTGGAGCAAAAGACAACAGCAGTTCAACAGCTGATCCCCGCCGTGAGACCAAAATAAATAACGGAAGCTTTTGGCATATGTTTTTCAACGGCTATGCGCTCTTGAAACACTTTCTTATTATTTATGATGTCATATTTTCAAGACATTCTTTTTAGTTTTACAGCTTGATGAAACCTTTTTGTTTGACATCAGCCATTATAGATAATATGGCCATCTGAGTGTACTGTGTAAGGTTTGTTTTTAACTGTTTAATACAGTTAATTATTCAAAAAAAGAGTTCTTTTAAAAAAAAAACTGAAACTTGCACTACTGTTCAAACATAAATAACAACAAACCTGGAATTATGCATTTGGGACTTTTTTTTGCTTTTTCTTGTTGTACCGAACCGTGACCCCCAAACCGAGGTACGAACCGAACCGTGACTTCTGTGAACCGTTACACCCCTACATACCATGGTCATTTTCTCTCACATTTAGACATCAATTTTAATGTTTTGATGATTAGCAATACTATTTAGATTTTTCGACTATAGTACTACTAGTATTTCAAAACAATGCAAACAAACACTTTAGTATAGAAAAATGTCAGAAAAACAGCATAGTATGCATTTTTTACATTTCCGCCGTTTTGTTGCATATTTTTTTAACAGAAATGTTGTTTTATTTAATATTTTTGAGCTACTATACTACTTAGTTTTTCTGCTAAATTCAACAGTCTGCTTTCTAAAAATATTTTTTGACATACTAAATTATGGCGGTTTTTGCATATTCTTCGACATTCTGTTCCATTTCATTATTTCTGATATTAAGGGCCGACGGGAGAGGAGCTGGAGTCAGCCGGACCACCAACAGGACAGCAGGGGCTGAAAGCATGGCTGCTGGGGCTGGTGGCCCTGCGTCCCAGTCTGTCGAAGGCTCCGCGTCCCTCCAAAGGCTAGGCGGGATCCAAGGACTGAATTAGTGGCCGGAAGTCGGACAGGAGCTTGAGCTAGCAGGGTGGAGAGTATGAAGAAAGTCTATAATCCAATCAGGTAAGGAATTCATTATAGCAACAGGCCGAGGAAGGTGCACAGATTTCTACTTGAAAAGGACCTGCCTGCGCGGGTCCATGATGTTGGTTGGATCCTTCTGTCACTCGAGAGCAATGCAGGGTGGGTCAAATAAAATGTACACAAGAATTGTGCATACAGGGCTTCCAGACTGATTCAAAAATTATAGTATTAAGTACAAAGAAATAATTAAGTGTGTGTCTTTAAAACAACAACAGTGGCAGTATGTATACAAGTGTGCATTTAATGGGTTACAATTCTGGAAAAAAACTGAAAATGACTACTGATGTGGGTTTGAAGATTCAACTCCATGAAAGAGGACAAGAATATGATATATTACAGCAGTTTTTTGAGAAACCTTTCGTAATAATAAATTGTATTTATATAGTGCTTTTCTCTGACTCAAGGTCGCTTAATCTAGGCACACAGGTTGCCTTGCGTGTGTTTTTGATAGCAGCACTTTACGTTAAAAGAAATCATGATATCAAAAACGGATAAAAACTTGGTCCTTATAAAGTTCTTCTGGAACCGCTCACATTTGTACTTCAGCCAAATCTCACGAGAGATAAAACAAATACATTAGTGCGGACCCCCTCTTACAACAGGACGTTCATTCTTCATCCACACTGATACCTCATTCACACCAACGGTGTTTCAGGGCCGGTTCGGAGCTGGAGCTTGAAAAGCACCGGGTTTTCCTGTTCACACCGCAGCGGAGCAGCCTCTTAGCTCCGGAATCCGGTTCGTTTCAAGCACCAAAAAATTGTCTAGCGAGAGCAAAAGCACCGCATACGTCACGCTTACGTCGAGGCAGGGGCGGGATCAACTCCTGAACAACAACAAAAAGCCGGCGTTTTATCCAGTTTGTACTAGGGCTGCACGATTTAAAAAAAAAAAAAAATCTAATTGCGATTTTTCTGACAAATATTGCGATTTGCGATATTTGTTTTTAAGCGACCCAACGGAAGTTTATTGTAAAATGCGGCCATAACTCCGGCTAGGAAGGTCGTATCAACGTGCTCCCGTCTCTAGCGCCCCTGCAGCCCGAGCTACGAGTGAAAGAACTAAACTTACATGAAACTTCCGTTGGGTTGCTTTAAAGTCAAGCTTCAGTTTAAGATTCACCCTGTAATAGAAACACGTGATGGAGCAGTACTAACCTGACTCAGAAACCATCTAGGAAAGCTCCATTGGAAGCCATTTGGAAAGGGCAGGCACTTTCAAAAGCACTTGGCAGGTGATTGGATCAATCTGTCTATCACCTTCTATCATGGGCTACTTCTGATTGATTAACAATGGCTGGTACATGTGGAGCACAGCACTTCTGATTGGTGTGGATGACTGACACACAATAAAAAAAAATTACAAAAAATCGCAGGCTTTGCGATTTGATAATCGCGATTTCGATTTAAAATCGATTAATCGTTCAGCCCTAGTTTGTACACAACGATGGAGAAACTTAACAAGCAGCAGTGGTCCACTGAAGAGACCAGCTACTGAACCTGAAAAGTTCTAGCATGGAGCTTGAACCGGAGTTGCGTTGGTGTGAATGAGGTATTACAGGAAAGGCTAGTTCATGTGAATCAGAAGTGGGTCCTTGACTTGATCTTTGTCCATTTATTTTGTCTGAAGCAGCAGGGAGGGGTGTAGACTCTCAGAAGAGGAGGGGGTTGTCCAGCACCGCCACCCCCGATGCCACGCCCCCGTCAGAGTGCTCTGAACTCTTGGTCCTCAGCAGGTGGCCCACACACTCGTTCAGCACCATGTCTTCACCTTTTCTGTTAGGGGACAATGAGAGGTAAAGAATTAGAAGATCAAATAAGGAACGTTACCCTAGATTCAAAGACTGATATTAAACATACGTACAGTTCTATCTGCTCGCAGTGCGATATTAAGTCATAGTTCAAACTTAAAACAATGAACTTGTTCTGAAAGTACAAAAACAGGTAGACTTTCCTTTTGTATTTGTTTCTCTTTAAACAATATGTATTCATGGGGCAGGATAAATGAAGTGAGCAAACTGAAGAACTGGACAGGAGAATGCAGGGCAAGATGTTAATGGGGGTATTTTGAAGGGGAAATGAATATTGAGAGTGTAAGATGTCATTATGGAGATACAGAAAATAAGTAGCATGTTAACAAGTTGTATTGAAAGAAGGATATTTTGTATCATGCCCCGATTAGCTTTTTTGATTTGGTATCAAATGAGCTCAAACACCCAGATTTAGGCAGAGAGCAAATAAAGCAACTTTTTGTTGTAGTTGTAGTAACTTCAATAGTTTTGTAATGATTCCCTTCTCAAAGACAGAAGACAGGATATCAAAAGCATGATTCTGACAAAACCACTGTTTGGCTGCATTAAAGAAAATATGAAAAGAGACAATGGGATGTCATCAGTGGCTGTGGGCAACAACTTATGTTCTTGTTTGAGAGGCAGAACACTAAATCCAGCTGTAATACTCCAAATGCTTGGTATTATTGACAGTAAAGTGTGTAATTACACTTAATGATTGGACATTGAATAAAAAAAAAGACATTTAGTTAAACAGGGCATTTTATGCATATTTTCAGGTGACATGTCTCCGTGCTTTAATGTTCAAAAAGCTCTTTATTTTTCTCATACTGCCTGTGCTGCAGCACCTCTTTTCACCCTCTGTCTGAAACCAGAGCCCAGTCTGCTCTGATTGGTTAGCTGGCTGGCTCTGTTGTAAATGTCCCGCCCCTTAGTCTATCAAGTACTGTGTCGGGGCACTAGCCAATATAAGAGCGAGTGTTACACAGTGATGTCATCAGTATTGATTACACACCTGACGTATGTTCCGAACACTCCCAGCTCACTGAGACAGGTGCTGATCTGGAGAGGAGCGTCTCGTCTCAGCAGGACGTTCTGGACGGGGGCGGGGTGAATCTTATCCATCAGGATATAAGCCGTCCTCTCGGTGCCGTCCTTCACTTCCTGCAGGACCTCGCACATCTCTGACCCATAGAAGTTGTTACCTAGAAATAAACAATATCTTAAAGGTCCCCTATTATACTGTTTTTCATCAATATGTTATAGGTCTCAGATATATACAAACATGTCTCTGAAGTGTTTGGCTGAAACACCAAACAGATCATTGCAGCATTACCCATACTCTGTTTCAGCCCTGTTTCCAAAGTGCTGATTCTCTGTCTGTTACTTTAGATGAAAATAAGGAGCCCCTCCCCACGCCCCTCTGAGAGACATTTGGTTACAAGAACTCAATGGTGCTCTAGGAGGAGATTCAGGTGATAAGGTGGGGGGGGGGGGGGGGGGGGGGGGGGGTTACCTTGGTTGGTGATTGGCTAACGGTTACACAAGACAACACATCGTTATGACATCATAAAGTGGCCAAAATCTGATCAGCTCATTTTCAGACAGGTTTTTATAGAAATGGATCAAAAAGAGAGAGAATCTTTGTTCCTGAAACTTTCTGAGTCTCTTTCCACAGAGGGGACACATGTTGATGTAGAAGAGACATGAAGAAGAGGGGACACATGTTGATGTAGAAGAGACATGAAGAAGAGGGGACACATGGTGATGTAGAAGAGACGTGAAGAAGAGGGACACATGTTGATGTAGAAGAGACATGAAGAAGAGGGGACACATGGTGATGTAGAAGAGACGTGAAGAAGAGGGGACACATGTTGATGTAGAAGAGACATGAAGAAGAGGGGACACATGGTGATGTAGAAGAGAGACGTGAAGAAGAGGGGGACACATGTTGATGTAGAAGAGACATGAAGAAGAGGGGGACACATGGTGATGTAGAAGAGACGTGAAGAAGAGGGGACACATGTTGATGTAGAAGAGACATGAAGAAGAGGGGACACATGGTGATGTAGAAGAGACGTGAAGAAGAGGGGGACACATGTTGATGTAGAAGAGACATGAAGAAGAGGGGACACATGGTGATGTAGAAGAGACGTGAAAGAAGAGGGGGACACATGTTGATGTAGAAGAGACATGAAGAAGAGGGGACACATGGTGATGTAGAAGAGACGTGAAGAAGAGGGGACACATGTTGATGTAGAAGAGACATGAAGAAGAGGGGACACATGGTGATGTAGAAGAGACGTGAAGAAGAGGGGACACATGTTGATGTAGAAGAGACATGAAGAAGAGGGGACACATGGTGATGTAGAAGAGACGTGAAGAAGAGGGGACACATGTTTGATGTAGAAGAGACATGAAGAAGAGGGGACACATGGTGATGTAGAAGAGACGTGAAGAAGAGGGGACACATGTTGATGTAGAAGAGACATGAAGAAGAGGGGACACATGGTGATGTAGAAGAGACGTGAAGAAGAGGGGACACATGTTGATGTAGAAGAGACATGAAGAAGAGGGGAAACATGGTGATGTAGAAGAGACGTGAAGAAGAGGGGACACATGTTGATGTAGAAGAGACATGAAGAAGAGGGGACACATGGTGATGTAGAAGAGACGTGAAGAAGAGGGGACACATGTTGATGTAGAAGAGACATGAAGAAGAGGGGACACATGGTGATGTAGAAGAGACGTGAAGAAGAGGGGACACATGTTGATGTAGAAGAGACATGAAGAAGAGGGGACACATGGTGATGTAGAAGAGACGTGAAGAAGAGGGGACACATGTTGATGTAGAAGAGACATGAAGAAGAGGGGACACATGGTGATGTAGAAGAGACGTGAAGAAGAGGGGACACATGTTGATGTAGAAGAGACATGAAGAAGAGGGGACACATGGTGATGTAGAAGAGACGTGAAGAAGAGGGGACACATGTTGATGTAGAAGAGACATGAAGAAGAGGGGACACATGGTGATGTAGAAGAGACGTGAAGAAGAGGGGACACATGTTGATGTAGAAGAGACATGAAGAAGAGGGGACACATGTTGATGTAGAAGATACATGAAGAAGAGGGGACACATGTTGATGTAGAAGAGACATGAAGAAGAGGGGACACATGTTGATGTAGAAGAGACATGAAGAAGAGGGGACACATGTGATGTAGAAGAGACATGAAGAAGAGGGGACACATGGTGATGTAGAAGAGACGTGAAGAAGAGGGGACACATGTTGATGTAGAAGAGACATGAAGAAGAGGGGACACATGGTGATGTAGAAGAGACGTGAAGAAGAGGGGACACATGGTGATGTAGAAGAGACATGAAGAAGAGGGGATACATGTTGATGTAGAAGAGACATGAAGAAGAGGGGACACATGTTGATGTAGAAGAGACATGAAGAAGAGGGGACACATGTTGATGTAGAAGATACATGAAGAAGAGGGGACACATGTTGATGTAGAAGAGACATGAAGAAGAGGGGACACATGTTGATGTAGAAGAGACATGAAGAAGAGGGGACACATGTTGATGTAGAAGAGACATGAAGAAGAGGGGACACATGTTGATGTAGAAGAGACATGAAGAAGAGGGGATACATGTTGATGTAGAAGAGACATGAAGAAGAGGGGACACATGTTGATGTAGAAGAGACATGAAGAAGAGGGGACACATGTTGATGTAGAAGAGACATGAAGAAGAGGGGGACACATGTTGATGTAGAAGAGACATGAAGAAGAGGGGACACATGTTGATGTAGAAGAGACATGAAGAAGAGGGGACACATGTTGGATGTAGAAGAGACATGAAGAAGAGGGGACACATGTTGATGTAGAAGAGACATGAAGAAGAGGGGACACATGTTGGATGTAGAAGAGACATGAAGAAGAAGGGGATAACATGTTGATGTAGAAGAGACATGAGAAGAGGGGACACATGTTGATGTAGAAGAGACATGAAGAAGAAGGGGACACATGTTGAGGTAGAAGAGACATGAAGAAGAGGGGACACATGTTGATGTAGAAGAGACATGAAGAAGAGGGGACACATGTTGATGTAGAAGAGACATGAAGAAGAGGGGACACATGTTGATGTAGAAGAGACATGAAGAAGAGGGGACACATGTTGATGTAGAAGAGACATGAAGAAGAGGGGACACATGTTGATGTAGAAGAGACATGAAGAAGAGGGGACACATGTTGATGTAAGAAGAGACATGAAGAAGAGGGGGACACATGTTGATGTAGAAGAGACATGAAGAAGAGGGGATACATGTTGATGTAGAAGAGACATGGAGAAGAGGGGACACATGTTGATGTAGAAGAGACATGAAGAAGAGGGGACACATGTTGATGTAGAAGAGACATGAAGAAGAGAGGACACATGTTGATGGTAGAGAAGAGGGGACACATGTTGATGTAGAAGAAACATGAAGAAGAGGGGACACATGTTGATGTAGAAGAGACATGAAGAAGAGGGGACACATGTTGATGTAGAAGAGACATGAAGAAGAGGGGACACATGTTGATGTAGAAGATACATGAAGAAGAGGGGACACATGGTGATGTAGAAGAGACGTGAAGAAGAGGGGACACATGTTGATGTAGAAGAGACATGAAGAAGAGGGGACACATGGTGATGTAGAAGAGACGTGAAGAAGAGGGGACACATGTTGATGTAGAAGAGACATGAAGAAGAGGGGACACATGGTGATGTAGAAGAGACGTGAAGAAGAGGGGACACATGTTGATGTAGAAGAGACATGAAGAAGAGGGGACACATGTTGATGTAGAAGAGACATGAAGAAGAGGGGACACATGTTGATGTAGAAGAGACATGAAGAAGAGGGGACACATGTTGATGTAGAAGAGACATGAAGAAGAGGGGACACATGGTGATGTAGAAGAGACGTGAAGAAGAGGGGACACATGTTGATGTAGAAGAGACATGAAGAAGAGGGGACACATGTTGATGTAGAAGAGACATGAAGAAGAGGGGACACATGTTGATGTAGAAGAGACATGGAGAAGAGGGGACACATGTTGATGTAGAAGAGACATGAAGAAGAGGGGACACATGTTGATGTAGAAGAGACATGAAGAAGAGGGGACACATGTTGATGTAGAAGAGACATGAAGAAGAGGGGACACATGTTGATGTAGAAGAGACATGAAGTGCTCAATGCTCTCAGCAGTAGTAACTGTGGAAAGCACAACAATGAAGATACTGACAATTCAAAGTCCTCTGGTTTCAGAAATGGTCGATATGAATCTTACCTCCTCCCTCTCTCTGAGGCTTCAGGACAAACCGGTCTGGTGCTGCCAGCGCCATGGCAACCGTTTGGTCACCTTCGGGTCCCTAAAGACGAAAAGGGCAACAAAGGAAGTCAATTATGCATCAGCAGCACACACTTCTTTTGTGACTTCATGAAAATACTTGATGTGATGTAGTGGGAGGAGTAGGCCACTAGGTGTCACTGCTGCGTTGTCTATTCCGAGGAGAATTCAGCAAACTCCTGTTTGGGCTGTAATTCTTTTTTTAATTGTAGGTTGCAATGTATTTTACACTTGGAAACTGGATCACTAGATAAATGTTGGTGGGTTCAAGTAATGCATAGTTGTGTTTTATAATGTGGCAAATCTTTGTGCTAGCTTCTAGTAGTTCCTTTGATTATTTAGATTTGTGTTGATCACTTGAAAGGCTATGAAGCTATCTGCAACTGTGATAGATGTCAAAAAGAATCTTCGCTGTCAGACATAAAACCTTTGACGGTCTAAACTACAATCCCCAGCCCTACGACAGAGTTCCATGGGAGTGCAGAGAGGAAGTGAGTCTTATATAAAACTGCTCAATAACAAAGCTGAAAGGACTGAGTAGCGTGTGATGTTTTCTCACCATGTCCAGAGTGTAGAGCCCAGCGAACGTGGCTCTGATCTGATCCACTACCTGGGGCTGGTGGGGGAAGAACTTCTCCAGAACTCCAGGTGTGGCGAGCACCTGCTGGACCTTCTTGGTTCCGACCAGGTGAGTGCTGATGTCGGGACACTTCACAGCCAGAGAGCGCTCCATCATCAGACGAGCATCCCAATCCTGCTATCAAAAAGATATCATAAAAGCCACAAATGCTGTTTTTCTTACCTTCTAGTATGAACTATGAAACGTTGAGTATATTTAACCAATGATGGAACATGAATGCATTGAGACCTGGCTTAACACATAACATTTACATTTTAACCCAAACCTTTGACCAGTTCCCACATTTTAGCACTAGTTGCTGCATTTGACCAGTGGTGTAAGGTAAACACGTTTATCAACCCAATTATTGTACCCGAGTGCACATTTAAAGTATTTGTACTTGATTGTTTTCTTTATTGCCACTTAATACGTCTACACCACTGCAATTCAAAAGGGAAATATGATGTACTTTTTACCTAATTGGACCTATTTGACAGCTTTAATCACTTTACACATTTTAGTTTATAAAATATGATGCTTTATAATGGTCATAATTCATAACTACCACAACTAGAATACAATTTAAAGTGAAGACCTTTTCAGAATTGTAGTTCTGAGGCATGTATCCATTCCTGAAGTACACCACAGCAACCTCCTGGCCATCACTGCAGAAAGACAAATATGAAAGCACATTAAAGAACCACTATTTTACTCAATTCAAGGTTCAGATTTGGATGTAGTTTCTCTACGGTGACGCGTCTCCATGCTTTAATGTTCAAAAAGCTCTTTGTTTTTCTCATACTGCCTGCGCTGCAGAACCTCCCTCAGGAGACAAACTAGGGCTGCTCGATTATGGCAAAAATCATAATCTCGATTATTTGGGTCAATAATTGATATCACGATTATTAAAAACGATTATCCATTTATTGAAAAATAAAAAGGTGTAGTATGTTTTTAACAGTTGATTAACCTGAACTTTCAAATTCAACTGAAAAACCAATAATAAAAAAAAAAATGATTTCGATTATGTTGTTTTCATAATCGTTGCAAACCAAAATCTTAATTGCGATTAAAATATGATTAATTGAGCAGCCCTAAGATAAACACAGGGATGTGAGCCTTTGCAGCCCATTGACATGCACACAAACCTATAGAACACACTACAGGAAAGGGAAAACCCCTAAAAGCAGAATCGGGTCCCTTTAAGTCAACGTGATCATAGTTATATAATTGTTACCCATGTAGCCATATCGTTGTTATAACATTTATTTATTGACATTTAACTTACACAAATAGCCTCTTATCCCGATCCATGGATCCTGTTTTAGAAACATCATCGAACCGCCTTCTCATTGTGGCAATGTTTCTGAAACACAGGGACAATAGTGGGCTGGTAAAAAAGAACAAACCCCTTCCTCCCACAACATTCAAATGCAATTGGGGCGGGACACGACCATTGAAACTAAATGTTCCAGCGTGTCAGGCTTGTTCCATTGAAACAACATTACTGATCATAAAAGCAGCTCCTCTCAACTCACCTGTTCCACAGCTCTTTCTCAACATATCGGTGATCAAAGATGTTCCTCTGTCCCTCCTCCACCAAGAACATGACGACGGCTCTGTAATGACAGTCATTGCTCCGGTCAATCACTCTTACAGCAATTCTGTATTCTGAATGAATTCACTCATCACATCTTAAGTTAGTATGAAGGAAATACATTCAGGATGTGCTGTTATGGAGGTAGATTGGTCTCAATATCATTTGTGTGAATAGATCGATAACCCGTTGGTAAATGTGTAATCAGTCAATGTAACACACTTTCCACAAATGCAAAGAAAAAGGTTGAAGGCAACAACAACAAAATTCTGCTTATAAACAAATTCCCAAAAAATGATTTTGTATCGATTTACAAGTAAATTAAAAGTGTTTGTGAATATCTTTCCAACATCTGCAATCATCATTTTTGGAGCGTGTAATTCCCTGCTCATGTCCTGGTGTCCACATTTCAAAGTAAGAGCATACTGTGGCTAGTAACATGCATTCTTTATTATCTAAATGGGACAATATCAGTGTGTGCTAATGGTTGCATGTTTTGTATCTACTGTAGCACACACTTGTGTATACATTGTGTGCTGTACCTAGCCTTCTTTTAATGTGTTCTTTCAGGTGAGTCAAAATCCCAATGCACAAATGTACTATTTACTTTCATTCCTACTTCTCTGATCCATAGAGCTCCCAGGCTTTAGCCACGGCCCGGGCCAGGCCTGCTGCAGGGTTGTTGTCCAGGATCCGCTCACTCTGCTCCAGCTGCCCGGCCAGCTGAAGGATGTGTCTGGGGGGAAGGGAACAATGCTTACAGCAATTTGAACAAATATTAAATAAAGAAAAACAGTAAGAGTTGTTGCCTTAATATGGAAAGTTATTTAAGTCAATACCAAATTAATTAATTAATAGATTACTAAATAAATATGCCTTAATAATAAATAGGGTGAAACATTAAATAGATATGTCTAAGATGTAAATAAATGAGGCGATACAAAAACAACAAAAAATGACTTATAGTTATAAATGAATTAATACATTTTTTCCTGAAGAAATACATTTGGAAATATTAAATAAACGTCTTCTGAATAAAGTCATTCTGGAAAAATAAAATAAGACAGTTTTAACTGATGTTTCTTTGATATAGATGTTCTCCCTAAATCAATGGAAGAACAGTCTATATATGAAATGCTGATGACTCACCGGTGAACATCTGGCGTGTGGGATGAGAGCCCTCCAAAGCTGGCGGCGATGGTGTTGATCTCGATCTGCTTCAGAGACGAGGAGCCGTCCTCCGCCTGGTCCAGCATGTAGTCGGAGCGATTGAGACCACACACCACAGACTGGAGAGCAGTTAGAGAAGTCAGTCAGACGACTCACATTCCCAAAGGTCACACAGACAGTACGGTGTCAAGGCTCAAAACTGGAGCTATTCCCAACCATTATCACAATACAACACTTTGTTTTTTAAGTCCCATCATTAACCATATGTTCAGCTTCTCAGTTTTAATCAATAACAGTTGTTCTTTGTCTTATGGGATAGTTCATTTAAATATTGACTATTTTGCTATTTAAATATAAATCTGAATGCCATTTTGATCTATTTTCTGATATTTTAAAAACCAAGTATGCATTATTATTAGGGCTGTCAAACGATTACAAATTTTAATCAGATTAATCACCATTCGAACTATGTCCAAAATATGCCATTTCTTTATGTATATTTTTGTGGGAATGGAAAGATAAATGAAAGAAGGCGGATATATCCATTTAACATACAGTATCTATGTTTATTATAATGTTTTTCTGGGTGTCAAAATGAAAGACAACCCACACACCTATCAATCATCAAACCGTGGGGGGGGGGGGGGGGGGGGGGCGGCTAGTGGAGTACTTCGTGACCACAGAGTGTGAACGTTGTGATCAGCTGTTTTAGCGCAGTTCTCCAGTGAAGGGGAGGAGTCTCCCTCCGCAGCCGGTTGGCGTAGTTTTGGCACAATTCCGTTGTACAGACCGACGTTAACAGCAGCCCTGTCTGTGCACACGGAGACCGACTCTGTCGTCCGGTGATCTAACCGCCTTCTGGAAAAGCTTCACAAGTACGTCGGTACGCAAATGCGCTTTGTGACACAAGTGACGGTACGCATTTCAGATTACGCACATAACCTGCGTACCAGTTATGTGCACCCCGTACTACAGCAAAAGTATTCTCCGTCGGGACTTCCTGCAACAACACCACGCCGTTATCAAAGATGTTCTATTGAGAAGACGATCACTACGTGACAAAAGTTTTCAAAACCGTGGCTACTGAAATCAATCTTACTAACTGCTGTCTGTTCAATTTACTCCGCGCGAGTTGGCAGACTTTATTTTGCTTACTTTAACATCATTTTTCATGGTGGGGCTAAGCCATTTCTTGGAATGGGTGTAGCCTACCCCAGCCATACCCTGGCGCTGCCACTGGTGGCACGTATGGGGCGGGCCATTCTGCACATGCGTTAAATGCGTTAAATATTTTAACGCAATTAATTCAAAAAATGAATTACCGCCGTTAACGCGATAATTTTGACAGCATTAATAATTATATTAACTAAGGAAACAATCTGCAGTTCAATCTATAAACATGTTATTGTTAGTAGCAGCCCTGATGTTCTTTTAATTGGCAGGCCAGTGTGGTCAAGCCAACTGAAAGACTAACAGGCTTGAGAAATAGTGGCAACATTAAAACTACTAATAAACTAGTTTATAACTTCATTTGGATGGAAACATCTCTATGCAATGTCAATCCAACAGGGTCATTGCATAGAGATGTGGAGAACTTCTGAATGATCAGCCTCTTTCTTTCTCTAACCCACCAATGACTTTCAATGACTTTTCCTTTTCCTTGACCTAATTTTCCATGACCAAAACAATTACCCTTTCTCAGCGGTACCACTGAAAATGGTTTATTTTAACATGGAACAGGAAAACAAGATCTGCATATGAAACATGTCGTGCCTATCTAAAACAAATCAAATAGTAGGCTTACTAGCTTCAACACGCTAAAGCAACTAAACTCTCAGCAGCAAAACACCTCGTCAGTTAAATGCCATTTTACTTTTCATTACTATACGACACAGTATGTATTATCATTATAGTATTACTATTTCGGCGATTAGCTAAAATATTAATTATATTTGATGCAACTTTAGTTACAATTCCATGACTTTTCCAAAACTTTGGGAAAAATATTGTTTTCCAGAACTTTTCCAGGGCCTGGAATTTGCATCTTGAATTTCCATGACTTTTCCAGGTTTTTAATGACCGTAAGAACCCTGTATGCAGACCCGTTGAGTTTTTGTTTTTCTATGTTGATGATTGCTGCACTGCAAACATGCCGAGTCTTAAATACCATAGGTTTTGTTAAATTGCAGAAAGTGTGACCTTAAGGGCTTAGTTCAACTGGAAGCCCTTTGTAATGGCTGAAAACATATATGTTGCTCTTGTATTAAAATGAACAAATCCTAAATGTTATTTGTCTGGCAATTCATTCTATTTGAGTTTCTATGCATTCTTGATGCTGCGAGATGATAACACTAACTGGTTTACTTTATAACCTAATAATCATGCGATCAAATGTATGCATTGTAAATATCCTCCATTGTTTCATTAAAAAAAAACGAATGACTTGTTTGCTGTGGCAAGACAACGAGGCATGCACCCCAAAACAACAGACACTCTTGAATCTAACAAGACGGATAAAGGACAGTCTACAAAATGGCTGACATACCTGAGATGTTCCTTCTTTTACTATTTGTTGGTGGATCTTGAACAACCTCGCAGTGAAATCATCCACCTCAATGGTGCTATAAACAGAGGAAGTCACCATGTTAAAATCCTGAAATCCAATTAATTGAACAACAATCAAGGTGTCACAGATTCAGAGGATGCTACTATATTGTGATATGATGCTACCTTGCTAGAGCGTCCTGCAGGAATTCAGCATCCTGGCTGATTTTGTCCACCAGTGTGTTGAAGTGCGTCTGCACAGCCAGCGCCTGGGAGAACGCCGCCTCAGGTACAGGTGTGGGGAAAAGTGTGAATGGAGCGTACGTCACCAACTGGAAACAAATCACAACACACAAGCATCGGTTGAATCCCTGTAATTGCAAACACAGGCTTGATGAAGGTCTGTCCCAAATCCTGTGCTCTAAAGGCAAGGCAAGGCAAGGCAAGTTTATTTATATAGCACCTTTCAACACAAGGCAATTCAAAGTGCTTTACAAAAAACGAAAGACATTAAGAAAATGGCATTAAAAATCAGTCATTAAAAAGAAAAGATACAAGTTAAAAGTTACAGTGCAGTTTAAGATGTGAATAGTTCAATTAAAGTCTTCAGTCTGGATTTCAAAGTAGTCAGAGTTGCAGCGGACCTGCAGTTTTCTGGGAGTTTGTTCCAGATATTTGGAGTATAATAACTAAACGCTGCTAAAGAGGAATACATTCCTAACATTACTTCCCATTGACTACGCCCGTTTTGACACTAGTGGCTTAACAGCACTCTGGAATGTAGCTCAAGGGGTTAGTGCTCTTTCCTGCAAATCAGGGGTTCAGCGGTTTGATCTCACCCTCTGCAGTCAACATGTCAAAGGGTCCTTGGGCAAGCAAGCCAACCCTAAAATGCTCATTTAGGCAGGTCCATGGCATTGAGTGTAGGCAACTGGCTTTGGATAAAAGTATTAGCTTAATACCATGTAATAATCTAATGTCCTCTTACTGGCTGTGGCTCACTTCACAGAAATACATCTCCATTCTTTTTCGTCACATTAGAAACTGATTGGACTGATATATATTTAGATGCTTGAGTGAAAAAAAAGAGAAGGAGCACTATTGGGGTTGTACGTTTCTACGTATTTACTGATATCAGAAGAATTGCTGCAGATACATTTCATTGGCAGATTAACTGTTTGGTAGTTTGTTCAAGTGTTTTTATTGGTTTGTGCATAGGATATACTACTTGAATATAGTGTTAATTTCGTTGACTAAAACTATGACGAAATATGTTCGTCAACGACCTTTTTTTCCATGACGAAAACGAGACGATGACGAGACGGCACCGACGGCAGTAAACAATAACTAACGAAATCATCATGCAATATCGTTGACGAAAGATTTGACGAGACGAAATATTATCAAAGATAACGTTACATCTCTGATAGTCAGTTTTTCTCCCAGCAGTTCCATTTCCGGTGCTGCGGCTGGGCAGCAGCTGTGTGTCTGTGGTGCGCGCGGCGGTAGATTTGAATTACACCGGGCAGCGGCACACTGAACTGTCAGGAAGACTCGGGTCTAACTCATGGTCTAACTAACCTTATTTAACAGAAAATAAAATGGCAACAACAGGGCTTGGGAGCAGTGGTCGCACTCGCATTAACCGAATACCCCCCGTCAGCGCGAGTGATTGATAAATTGTGCACTCGACGGGTAATAATGGATTATGACGGAAATGTTACGATCCTGTCCGTCAAAATGACTGACAACGAAAAAGTCTAAAGCCACCACTGCTTGGGAGAAAGAAACGATGTGATATTTGGGCCCATTTTCGCTACAATGAGGCGGAGATAAAAAGCGAATGCATTGTTTCATCAGAAGGGAAGCAATGTGGCCATAACACAGCTGGTAAACACACCACAAACCTGAGCAGATACTCTCTGCAAAGCTGCATTCTTAATCATTCAATCTGTGTTTTTCATCAAATAAGGACAAGATATAATCTTATTTATTTATATACTAAAATGACAAATGATTGGTTTTGGCTAGACTAGTTTGACTGAAATGTTCTATATAATCTGATGACTAAAAAAGACTCAGTTTTCATTGACAAAAAGTAGACTAAAATGCTCAGACTTTTAGTCGACTAAAACTTGACTAAATAAACACAGGATGAAGGTGACTAAATATGACTAAAACTAAAAAGAAAATTTCACACAGGACTAAGACTAAAACTAAATAAAAAAATAGCTGACGAAATTAACACTACTTGAATAGTGACTTTATTACATAGCTCTTAATGAATACGATATTTCTCTCTGTGTATTGAACCTTGTAGTCCTGCAGCCTTTAAGTTATGGCAAATAAATTGGAGGCTACAAGCCACCAGTTACAATGTGAAAACAAAGCTACAGTAATAATAGTTGAGTGTAGGGCTGCTCAATTAATCGTATTTTAATCGCAATTACGATTTTGGCTTGCAACGATTATGAAAACAACATAATTGAAATAAAACTTTTTTTTTTTTTTATTAAATTGGTTTTTAGTTGAATTATACTTAAAGTTCAGGGTACTCAACTGTTAAACACCTACTGTTCACATTTTTTTTTCAATAAATGGATGTTTTTAAAGTAAATGGATAATCGTTTTTAATAATCGTGATATCAATTATTGTCCCAAATAATCGAGATTATGATTTTTTGCCATAATCGAGCAGCCCTAGGTAAGTGTTACAAAAATTTATTTTAGTATTACATAATTGTATAACCCTGACACAGGTGTTTCCATTGTCTTACTATATGAAAACGTTTTGCAAATGCACTCTACACCATGCTGTACAAGCTGTAACAACTGGGATGGGATGAATGTAGCATTAGAATAGAGCCAGCTGATGAAAAGGGATTTGATGTATGCAAAGCGTGACTATACATTGTCAGATGTCAAAGCCAGTCTTCACTTTACAACATTATCATAGTATTCATGCAGGTGAGCTTAAAAAGTGTTCATGTCCTACCTCTGATGAGTTGGGGGTCTCTTGGATCCTCATTAGAACACCTTTCAGCAGTGCTGCATCTTTTGCCACTTCCGCCAAGTTTTCTAATAGTGTAGTATTCATCCTTATCTTCTCTGGTATTGCGTTGGCCATTTTGATTCTCCTGTCGTGGAGGGAAAAAAGAAGAGTATAGGAGGTGTGTTGTTTGTGCTAGGCGAATTTCTACACTTTACAGTCAATTTGAAAATCCTAGCAGGTAACAATTTTGTATTTTGATTGCTAGGTTAACTTTCTATTTCCAAGATGATATCATAATCTGTCAGTAAATAATCTGCACAGTCGTTTTGAACATACCTGCTAAGGTACAAAACTACAACAAGGCTAAGTCAATGTACTTGCTGCGTAGTTCTATAGCACCTTTATGGCGACAAATATTCCAGACAGTTAGCCCAATAACACATGTCATTAGTTTGCTTCCTGGGTAGTACAGGTTATAGGTCCGTGAATATACCTACTACCAAAACCAACTGTCTGTAAACTAACACAGCCTGAGATTTATCCAAACAGCAGGCTAACAGTTTACTTTCAAAACATTGGTTGTATAGGTTAAACACCTTCGTTAGTAGCTAGTTGATATCTACCTTCAAGCTAGCAGGTTTTTCCAGTCGGTGTTCCGTGTCCTTCTCGACAGGTCTCACAGCACAACGTGTGTAAACCAGGTTATATTTATTATAGAGAAGCACTATCCTTCATAATGTGTCAAATCGAGTTTCTGTATTGTTTTACAGTCCGAACTCCAAACGTTTGAGACAAGCGAAACCGACGCAGACCTGCGCAATTGCGATCAACGTCTTGCTAGTGCGTTGCATGATGGTTAGTCATTTTGTCAGACCGGGGTTGCGTTCCGATAATCCAAAAAATCAGCTCCTAAATTCTAACCCTATCTCCTATTCCCTGATCTCTGAGTGAAACGTCACAGGGTTAAGGGATAGTGGATAGGAGAATTCAAAAGGACTTAGGAGAAGAGACTGCGGTACTTTAGAGAATCCGAATGCACTTTCACTATCCGACGTGGTTATGATGCGCCAGCGGACGTCATGAATGTGCGTCTGCTGCTGTGGGGAAACTATGGAAACTACAGTTTTCTATACAGCGGACTACAACATGGATGTTTAATAAGAACGAGGGACTACTGTAAACTCATCTAGAGACTCTGCACCGTGCTCTGATGCTGTTGATTTATGCTTTATGAACGTGGACAACAGAGAAACATATTCTTCATGACCAAAGTTGGAATTGAAATAAAAAAGGAAAGTGAAACTTATGCTCATCACCCTCTCCCTCCGGTCCACATTAATACAAATGATCCCAATACGTATGATTGTATGAAAATATCTTAAAATCATAAATGTATTTATTATAAACGTTAGTCCTTAACATCTATCACTGTGTATATCACCATTCAAACATCTTTTAAAAGTTGAACAAACCCCACACAGCTCAGTAAAGACTGTGAGATGTTGACTTTATTTGATCATTTCAGTAAAAACTAACGTTCATATTTCTCTTTTTGATTATAATACTGATGAACGTTCAGAAAAAAGCACTTTGGCAACTTACCACATACGTTTTAAAATGCTTAATAAGCACCGTAACTTTCATGATATAATTTCTCTGTCATAATCGGTTGTTTCCGTGAACGGCCGACTGTTGTGATGGCAAATGCTGCGGCTGCAATGCATTGTGGGGCAGCATTTTCTCCTCTCCTTTCGGTTAGGGCAGCGTTTCTCAAAGTGTGGGGCGCGCCCCACTGGTGGGGCGCAGAGATGGACGAATGGACGCGATGAACGGGAGATTTTTTTTTTTTAAATAAATACATTTTGGACCTCAGGCCGGAATCGAACATGGATGTTCGAGGGTGTTTGCGGCGGCGGATTTGGTACCGGCGCAGCGGCGTTGTGAAAGTCCACGGCCCACCTATGCCAGAGCCAGCGACCCACCAACGGCAGCGGCCCAACGGGAAAAGTCCCAAATCTCCTGATGGCCAATCCGAGACATAGGCCTATGTAAAAATCTCTCATACACACATGTGAAACGCTCTCACACACAGACAAAACAGCGTTGCAGTCAGGAAGAAAAGCAATGTGGAGCGGCACCTCACCACTTCATAAGGAGTTTAACCGTGACACTTTTCGAAATCCCGTTTGTGTCCCTCCATTTTACAAATAGGCCTATGTTTATTATTATCTTTTAACGCAAGCCATCATCGTCACGGAGGAGCACACAGCCTCTGTGAGCGAGCGAGACACAGAGACAGAGACAGAGAGAGAGAGAGAGAAAAAACACACCTTTATCTATTTAATATAGGCCTAGCCTATAGTTGTACGAAATAAAGTAAGAAATCATTCCAATGTGTGCTATAGGACAGTAAACAGTTTAAAAGGGGAGTGATTAGTAATGCATAAATAAAAAGAAAGAATGCTAACTAGGTAGTGTTGAGAGATGTATCCATAAATTCATTTTGTGCTCAAAGTGCACCAGATTGATGCATTTAACTTCAACATTTAAAAAAAATCATACATTTTATTTTCACTGAAAACGGGTCCCACAGACCCAAACAGCACACAAAGGTTAAAGGTAAGCATATAATAATGTTAAAATGTGCTAAATATATTCTTTCACACACAGTGACGTCACGCGCTACCCACAATGCATCGCGCGCCATATATATATATATAAATACGCCATTTTTGCAGGTGGTTTTGAGGTGCAAATATCCTGGAGGTGCTAATATAAACAGCTAGCATACTTGCCAACCTTGAGAACTCAGAAATCGGGAGCATTTCAAAACCACCGCGGGGGGGGGAGCTGTATGCTTATTGTAGTTGTAGGCTAAATGCAATGTCTTGCAGCCTGTAGCACCATCCTTGGAGCATACTGTATGTGGGCTGGACCTGTATTTTACAAGAGAGGAGTGAGCAGAGGGTCGTGTTGTCGATTCTTGTTCTGTTTTATGTGACTATCTGCCTCACCCTCTCAGACTTGCAGTTGTGCGCGCTACTAAAGAGACGCGCTATAGGAAACCAAACAATGGTGTAGCTATATTAAAGTCAGAGTGGAAACAGTCCTGAGTAAATCTGATTTTGTCAGAAATCGGGAGAAATGCGGGAGAAATATGACCCCGGGAGGAAACCGGGAGAGGGCAATGAAATCGGGAGTCTCCCGCGAAAATCGGGAGGGTTGGCAAGTATGAGCCAGGCAGAGCGCACTAGGTTTTTTTTCTGAATTAACGACCGAAGAAATCGCTGCATGTCTTCGGATTACATCTCTGGACTTGAGGGGTCTGCTCTAGGTCGGTACCAGCGTAAACTAGAGCTGTGTGGGTTGTCGGATTGCCCTTACAGACTGCCTGCAGATGTATGGAAAAACGACTCTCGAAAGTGGCCTTCGGTCGATTTTGGCAGCATCTACGTCTATCTTCTGGAAACACCAGGTGAATACCCCACTTGTCACAATAATATTATCATGCCAATGCATATATGTGGTATTTTAGAGTTGACTATATTGATTAAGGCAATAGACTATGATATTCTGCTTGCACCTCGTGTGAAATGGCGGATACCGGAAGTACGGTGTCGCCCCTCGGCCCAAACCCGTATGTGTGTGTGAAAGAATACACTGCAAAAAACTGAAAAAAGAGGAGTAAAAGTAGCTCACGACTTGTTTTATTTTTTGAAAGTAGCTCTCATCCTAAAAAAGGTTGGAGACCCCTGTTATAGAACGATACATTTGACCATTTTAAGCTTGGCCTACCATTTTATTGGAGCAGCGAGGAACAGGTGGGGCTTGAAAAGGCTCACCTGTTCAAAGCGGGGAATGCCAGAAAAAGTTTGAGAACCACTGGGTTAGGGAGGTCCAGTGGTTCCTAAGCTAAAGGAGGTTATAAAGGAAGTTTGAAACCTCCTTTCCTTTCATTTGGAGAATTGGAACGGCACTTATCATGGCTGCCAGCAGGGGCGTCGCCTGGGGTAGGCAGCCCCGGATGTTTTTTCTTTAGCCCCGGACAAATTCTCCCTCAATAATATAATACATTAACCTACTTTACCTATAGGACGGACGGTAGAATTGTAATTTCCCATGTTCAGTGAATGCAACACAGAGGCAAGACGACGCCACCAGACCAATCAGAGAGTTGCATGGAAATAAACGTGTTTTATTGGCTGACAGGTACGTACCTCTCCTCTGTGACAATGTTTAAACTTTAAATTGTCAGCCCCGGACGCGGAGATTCTGAAGATGGACATTAGACATGTTTAATAAAAAAGACGGCAATTCTCAAGTGGTGGCTCACACAACAACCCCACAGCCACCACCTGAGCCAGGTGAACAAGGTATGTACCTGTCAGTAAATGTACAAGTTATGCGAACATGTAAGCAAAGCATAAATTACAGCCACGTTGACGTTACTTTGAATCGCGCGGGTAAGCTAAACCGTTAGCAAGTAGCTATAGCTAGCCAGATATATTAAATAAACACTTTGTCATACAATATAAATGTTGTGTTTTTTAGCGTTACCTGGTGATTTCAAAGAAAGCTCTCTGGGAAATGTTGACTTACTGTCTGTGTTCGACATGAAGCTAGAAGCTACCTTACAGTAAGTAGCACACAGTTGATCCTGATTCCTTACTCACAGTTGGTGATTACTTTCCTGCATTTCAATGGACAGCATATAAAAAGGACATGTGAGCTTCATTGCTTAAGAGCCCTCACATGCTATCTCTTTTAAAAAAGAAGTGTCCAGTCAACAACAAAATATCAGTGATCGTATAGTGATAGTATATTTTTCATAAGCGATGTGAAACATTAAACTTAAAAAAACTCTGTGAGGGCCTAAGATATTCTACAAAATAATATTTAAAACATTTTAGTTATATTTTTCATTAGTTTTACCAAAATAACTTGATTTAATTGTATTTAAAATAACATTTCCAAAGAAATAAATCCTTCGAATCTGCCTATTCAGTTTCTGTTGGAATGTGAAGGGTTAAATGAAATAAGCCCCTCTCTGCGAGTCTGTGAAGACAGGAGCTGTTGGATGTCCAGCTATGAATTCACAGAGGGCCCGCTATAGTAACTACAACGAGAGAGTAATGTCAAATGACAGTACAATTGACTTCCCTCTAAATGAGTGGGTGTTATTATCGCGGACTTTATGACAAGTTCCGCCCGCTGTGCAACTTTTCTTGTTTCCATAGCAACAACAACTTCCTGTCAACAGCGTTAACTCGCCTTCAAAATAAAAGCATGCCAAATTACACTTAAGACATACAACTGCAACGAAAGTAACAAACACAATGCAATATCCTTTTCAATTTCAAAGAACACAAATAGGGTTATTTACAGGTGTTGTTTTGTGTGGTAGAGGGTCGCTTTCATTGATGCGTTTTGCACCCCGGGCCGTTGTTTGATATTCCGCTGAAGTATACGCTGCTGTGACATAATAACTCGAGGGAAGGGGTGGGAGTCAGAGGGCCTAGGTATAAAAGTCACGGCTCGCCACTGCAAATAGCCAATCACACAAAAAACATATTGCTGTGACTGTGAGCATTAAATAATTAACATTAAACTAAACAAATGTGACCCACACAGTGTGTGATCACAATTTTATGTTTATATTTAATATCATTTTAGAAACCTGTTTAACAATGGACAGCAGGGGGCAGTAGATGGCAGGTTAACACTGCCGTAAACGGGTTTGTTGTGATTTGCGCCTGCCGTAAACGGACTGATGTGGAGACGGTGCTGCCGTTGGCTTGCCATTCTGGCAAGACCCGCCAAACGAGCAGCTAAGAATTTGGTTGTTCATAATTTCTCCTGTTTTGCAGGTCAGTTTTGTGTACATATTGTCACAAGTGTTATAAGAATCCACGGTAGTGTTGTGTCACGATGTCCTAGTGTTTGAAGTGGTGTTTGGA